AAATAGGACATGATGGAGATAGCCATCTCCAGTTGTTTGTCCCCAGTATCTGATAATTATGTTAGCCTTAATGAAGGCAAACTGCTCAGCAGCCTCCTCAACAAAGAAAATTGCCGTGTAATTAACAGGCATTCAAGCTGGTTTCATTTCCAGACAAAGAAGCAGCAAACCACCAACTTCAGTTTTTTTTTTCTGTGTTCATTAAAGACATTTATTCTCACCAAAAGAAATGTGAAAGAGAGGAAGCACAGATTTCTGCTATTGTTGCCTGCCCCAGTAAGTTCTGAAAAGCGTTTGACTCCATCTGGCCTCCTGAATCCAAACCTTAAATTGCTACCATATGGAATCGGAGGTGAACATATGACCTTATCAAATCCAATCTATTCAGTGAGATTAAAGGAGAAACAAATTTACGAAGTGGATGGAGAGGGTTGAACAAACCAGGGTGCGACAAATTGCATTTTGTGGTGGCGTTTTTTGGAGTGGGTGCATGGGCTTAATGAGGTAACAGGAAGCCAGGGCTGAACCAGGCCTGTGTCAGAACTGAGCTTGAATTATTTATTTATTTAACGATTCCCAGGGTCTCAAATGAACTTTCCAGAAAGCAACTTCCCTAAATTCTGGCTCTGGCATCTGGGGTGTTCATTAATCAATTATATGCTATGAAGTTGATTCCCTTTTTCCAGGGTTCGTTTAGGTACGGAGTCCTCAGATGTGGTTTACCATTCCCTTTTGTGGGCCATTCAGGAACCATGCAGTTTGCACTTGGAGGCTGTTTTTTTTTTCCTACAAGGCACAGTGGAGAATCAAACCCCTAGCCCCTACCTCCCCAGTCAAGTGCTCCATCTCACTGAGCTGTCCTGAGGGCAAACAGATGCTGATACAAAAGAAAATAAAGTGTTCAAGACGAGGAACTGTTGATAGTCTTATCCCCCATTTCATCCCCATCCCGTGAAAGGTGTACCAGGCCATGCATTCAGATCATACCTCTGTTAAAGGCCCAGCTGTGTGATCAGTCCTCTGCCCACCTAAAAATACTATAGAGCTATATTATGGCTCAAAATGCAACAGGTAGCCTAACACAGAAATGGAAACAGTTTTAAGTGTTGAATTTCTGCCTTACACTACATATATGGCCACCTTCTTTCCTGGCTTCACCTCCGAAAGGCCCAGCATTTCAAGCAAAACTGTTCTTATGTGGGTCAGCAATGCTATCAATATTCTAAATGTGTCTCTGACTGGGATTTAAGAAGAGAGCACGAGTGAGCAGGCATTGCCGTCTGAGTCACACAACGTCTGAAAGGAGCCAGACAGATGGTGCAGTCAGACTGAAGGGGAAAAACAAAACAAAACAACCAATCCCCCAAATCTCCCCAATATATGTGCGACAGCAAGAGTCTCAAGGAAGCCAGAGCCCTTGCATTTACTCTCACTGAAATCAATCTAGTTGAATTAGATGTGTGTAATGATGATGATGATGATTACAGGTGAAAGGCCTGTCACTATGAGGGCCAGGCCTCCTCACCACAGAGGGTTTATGAGAGGACAGATCTACAGTCCAGGAGATCTGGAGAGCTTAGAAAAATTACACTGTACTGGCTAAGTTACAGAAAATTGAGTGCAGACTTCCAAAGAATAGCAAGGAGAGAAAAGAGGGCCTTCTTAAATGAACAATGCAAAGAAATAGAGGAAAATAATAGAAAGGGAACAACCAGAGATCTCTTCAAGAAAATTGGAGATATTAAAGGAACATTTTGTGCGAAGATGGACATGATAAAGGACAAAAATGGTAGGGACCTCACAGAAGCAGAAGACATCAAGAAGAGGTGGCAAGAATACACAGAGGAATTATACCAGAAAGATCTGGATGTCCTGGACAGCCCAGATAGTATGGTTGCTGACCTTGAGCCAGACATCCTGGAGAGAGATGTCAAGTGGGACTTAGAAAACATGGCTAACAACAAAGCGAGTAGAGGTCGTGGCATTCCACTTGAACTATTAAAAATCTTAAAAGATTATGCTGTTAAGGTGCTACACTCAATATGCCAGCAAGTTTAGAAAATTCAGAAGTGGCCAGAGGATTGGAAAAGATCAGTCTACATCTCGATACCAAAGAAGGGCAAAGCTGCCAAACAATCCTCCAACTACCGTACAATTGCACTCATTTCACATGCTAGGAAGGTTACGCTCAAAAACCTACAAGGTAGGCTTCAGCAGTATGTGGACCGAGAACTTGAAGGGGCAGAGGAACTAGAGACCAATGTATTCTCGAAGGCATTCATGGCCGGGATCTGATGGTTGTTGTGGGTTTTTCGGGTTCTTTGGCCGTGTTCTGAAGGTTGTTCTTCCTGACGTTATGCCAGTCTCTGTGGCTGGCAGAGACTGGCGAAACGTCAGGAAGAACAAGCTTCAGAACACAGCAAAAGAACCTGAAAAACCCACAACAACCATCAGAACTAGAGACCAAATTGCTAACATGCGCTGGATTATGGAGAAAGCCAAAGAGTTCCAGAAAAACATCTACTTCTGCTTCATTGACTACACAAAAATCTTTGAATGTGTGGACCACAGAAACTATGGCAAGTTCTTAAAGAAATGGGAGTGCCTGAACACCTTATCTACCTCCTGAGAAATCTATACGTGGGACAGGAAGCAACAGTTAGAACTGTATATGGAACAACAGATTGGTTCAAAATTGGGAAAGGAGTACAACAAGGCTGTATATTGTCCCCTTGCTTATTTAACTTATATGCAGAATACATTATGCGAAAGGCCAGACTGCATGAATCCCAAACTGGAATTAAGATTGCCGGAAGAAATATCAACAGTCTCAGATATGCAGATGATACCACTCTGATGGCAGAAAGTGAGGAGGAATTAAGGAACCTCTTAATGTGGGTGAAAGAGGAGAGTGCCAAAAATGCTCTGAAGGTCAACATCATAAAAACTAAGATCATGGCCACTGGTCCCATCACCTCCTGGCAAATAGAAGGGGAAGATATGGAGGCAGTGACAGATTTTACTTTCTTGAGCTCCATGATCACTGCAGAAGGTGACAACAGCCACAAAATTAAAAGACACCTGCTTCTTGGGAGGAAAGTGATGACAAACCTCGACAGCATCTTTAAAAACAGAGACATCACCTTGTGAACAAAGGTTCGCATAGTCAAAGCTATGGTCTTTCCAGCAGCGATGTATGGGAGTGAGAGCTGGACCATAAAGAGGGCTGACTACCAAATAATTGATGCTTTTGGATTGTAGTGCTGGAGGAGACTCTTGAGAATCCCCTGGACTGCAAGGAGAACAAACCTGTCCATTTTGAAGGAAATCAACTCTGAGTGCTCATTGGAAGGACAGATCCTGAAACTGAGGCTCTAATACTTTGGCCATCTGATGAGAAGAGAAGACTCCCTGGAAAAGACCCTGATGTTGGGAAAGTGTGAAGGCAAGAGGAGAAAGGGACGATAGAGGACGAGATGGTTGAACAGTGTCACCGAAGCTACCAACATGAATTTGACCCAACGCTGGGAGGCAGTGGATGACAGGAGGGCCTGGCATGCTCTGGTCCATGGGGCCATGAAGACCTGGACACGACTTAATGACTAAACAACAACAACAACTGGCTGAGGGTATTTCAGGTGTTTTACTTCACAAAAGTAATTGTCCCAAATTCTGTGGAAAATCACAAGGCATACGTTGCAATGTTTTTGCCTGCCTTTCTTGAGTTGAATTGCAGATGGTATTTCCTGGTTAGGCAAACGCCATCAAGTTCTCAAGGCCATTTGGAGGGATGATGGCTAAATGTCTTTCGATTCAAACCCTTATAACAACAGCTTTTTCCCATGAAACTCAGCAGACTCAGACCTTCTTCGCTTCAAATGCAGTTCCATGCATATTCTTTTAAGGTTCCTCTTTCCCAGCATGGCACAGAAAGCAATTTTATTTAATAGAACATGAAGGGAAGCTTTTGGGGGGTGGGGGAGACAGCTCTTATTTTCAAAGCACCACCCTTCCCTCTACATATTCCCGCTCGGAATTTTATTTCATAGGGTGAAAACCCTAAAATTAGAGCCATCGTGGTATAGTACACAGACTGGGATTCAGGAGACGTCTGTTCAAATCACCATTTGGCCATGGAAACTTACTGGTTAAGCCCCTCCTTAGACACCTCACATACTTCAAAAACTATTAAGGTCTCTTTAGTTCAGAACAGGAACTCCAAAGCGCAGTTCCCTGAAGTGGGTACTTTATGGGCGTTCTCTTCAACTTGATAGTACTTTAGGATTTCAGCATGTCTTAATCTGGCTATAGAAAAGAGGCCCCACTGAATAACACTTCATCAGAGATGGATTCAACTCCTCCCAATCAACCTTGGAGGAAGGAGTGGCTGAACGAAACAATTTTCTGGAAAATGGAGATCAGAAGTAGTATGACTCATACATTTAGTTTCAGCAGCCGTTTTTGCAGCTTTCCAGTGGGTATTTTATGTGCTTAATAAATCACTGAAATTTTTTAAAAAATAAAATACATAATTGAAACCAGAGGTGTGCTAATTGGTGCTTTTGGACCCCAATTTCCACCACTCCCTAGGCAGCTATCCTGGCTGCGGCATTCTGGGCGGGTTGGCCTAAAAACACGTTATGTGCACACCTCCAAAATAGAATGCTTATTTTGAGCAGACATTTTATGTGTGATACAAGCTGGCAAAGTTGTCATGTGAGAAGTACCACCTTCCAGATATTTGCTCATAAGGGAATGACAAACCGCTTCTGAGTATTCTCTACCTGGAAAACCCTGAAAAGGATTCTTAGGTGCTCTGGACCGGGGACTCCGAGTTAGGCAACCTTCCAGATGCTTTCAATGACAACTGAACTAAGCCCCACATAGCTGGGCCAACAGTCAAGGACAGTGGGACCTGTAGACTGAAACATCTGAAGGGCCAAAGATTATCTACCTTGGTTCTAAGGGCCAACAGGGTGGAGGCGAAGGGAAAGTCTTACCTTCTGTGATGTTCAAGTGAAACGCCCCATGTGCAGCCTGTGATATCGCCAGGAAGCTCACCAGTTCTAGGAGAAGCAGCATCTGAGGACAGGAAGAGAGTGATTGCCTGTAAAAACATGATATCGTAGTATAATCATGTCTGCTTGTGTTTCATTGTCTACCTTAGGGCTGGTGGGCATAATGAGCTGCATGAATTATGTTCTTTAAAAAACCCCAAAACGGTCATAGTACACCAGGGTAACCCATGCGTTTTGCACAAAGTGAAGAAGAAATGTGTATGTGACCTCATAAATTATAGAAATGAGGCATATTTGCATAAATTGACAAACTTTGCATAATTCATTCTCCTTCTGCTAGTTCCAAGAAAGCCTGAGTATATTAATTGCATACAATACATTCCCTTTGGTTTTAGCTGCTGTCGTATTGCTAGCTAGAAGGACCTCAAGTAGCAGGATTGGTAAAACTTTCCATTTGCCCAAGATAGTGGTTCCCAATCTTGGGAAATCCAGGTGCATTTCGAATGCAACTACCAGAAACCCTGGGCAGCACAGCAGATGGTGATGATTTCTGGGATTTAGAGCCCAGGAATTACGATCCAAGAACACCCGGTTTAACTTAGGTTGGAAACTACTGGCCTGAGAATTTAAGTTGCTGTTGCCAATCAACGCAAGTTTTAATGAGCTTGCTAGGCCAATAGCATGACTCAGTACAAGACAAATTTCTATAGAAGGTAAAGCTAAAGCATTATCTCAAGGTGAAGAATTGGGTTGCCAGGTCTCAGTCAGTGCGCTGGGTGAAGTCTTAGGGAACTGCTATGCCCAGGCAGGGAAACAAATCAAGCAGCTCTTTAGATAGCATGGATTTTGTGTGTGAGAGAGGTGAGTGCTATTTGCCGCCACTTACTCCCAGATGGCATGAGATATCACTTGATTGGTTGAGAAGGTGCTCATGTGTTTTAAGAACCAAAAAGTCAGGAGTGCAGATATGGAACTGGGTAAGAAGCTGGTCACCCAGGCCTTACACACTTTAGGCTAGAGGGTGGGAATATAGAGAAGAATCCCCATGAACAGGAGATAAGTGATCAGAGATAACCACAGGGATTCCACCCTGTGCTGCTGACCCTCCCATTCAGGAGGGACAAAAGACGCACACAAAGATGACAGCACTCAACTAGCACATGAAGGTGTTGCCTGAGAAATCTTCACTCCTTTTTCCTCTTCCCCAGTGGTGGGGAGGGGGAGAACCCCAGCTGTCCACCACAAGTAGTTCCCCAGTCTCCTCTGATGGGGAAATAGATGGCAATTTGGCTCCCTTGTGTGACTGCCTGATGCCATCCAGATCCCAGCTAGACCCTGATCCGTGCCCAAGCTGGACCTTTTTGGTCCAGCTGTAGAGTTTCTACATTTGTGGCTAGGCTGGAACAATTCCCTGACAGACAGAAGAGTCGCTTTAAAGAAGATTGCCCCTGTTACAGGGATCCTTTCTGGTGTGATCAGGTGCACACCTTTGTAGCTAGAGTAACATTTTTCTCAGTCTCCCTTACTCTGTGTGCTTTATTGCTTAAATACTTTCAAGCCTTTGACTTTTATGAAGCTGCTTTATACTGTACTGGGAGCAGAAGAAAAGTTTAATTTTTTTGAGTAAGGATCTTAGAATCCTACAGCCAGGAATTTATTCACCAAAAAATCCCGTCCCCTATCCCCACATAGCATAAGCATAAGGTGCAGGCATTCCATTTCTGCTATATATACACACAATATGTGCGAGGAAAGGACTTTTCTTACGACTGCGCACCCAAAAGCTGCTGGCCATACATTCAGAGAGACAGCAGCAAGATGCTGAAGGAGTGGTTTGTATGCCACACAGAATACCCAGTTTCTCCCTGCAGCCTTCAGATCCATAACAGTACCAGGTTTGGGGAAAGATGCAGCTAACAGTCCATTCAAATTCTACATAAGTTTTTCTTTATTTCAGGCAGCAGAATGTATTAGGTCACTCCTACTCCACCTGAACCCACTGACCTGACTTTGCAGCAAGTCTTAAGCCACATTGCATCTTGACTCATGCAATGTGCTCTTCGTGAGACTACGTTGCTCTTTCTAAAAGAGCTGACTTTTAATGACTGACTCAAGGCTCTGTGACATAGTTCCTCCATATCAATAGGAAAATTCACCTAATGCTTCCCTGCCTCTGCCCCCGCCCCAAAAAAGCAGCACTGAGAGAAAGCTATTTTCTTAAAAGAAAATGGATAAATAATAATTTCCTGTTTCCTGTCATGTTCATTGTATACCACACTGAAATAACGCACAATAGCATACAGCTGGTATTTAAAAAAGAAAGAAAAGAAAAGTGGCCAGTTGATTTAAATTTTCTCTTTCTTTTTTTCTTAAATAACAATTTGTTAATTTTAACATTAGACTTTATCTCGTGCTTTATTAATTACTTAATAGTCTGTCAAAAATTTGTCTCCAATATCTGGCACACACAATCCCGGCAACTGTTATCATGAAACAGAACAGTTCTTTGTCCACAGATACTAAACAGTGTCTTTCCAATGCATTAATCAACAATCTTGCTGCAAGCACTATCCAAGAATTCTTTCTATCATAATTATTTATTTTCATTCAGTACTCTTTTGTTAGTGAATATCTCCAAAATGGAAAGAAAGTGTTATGCACAGTTCACATTGCCAACACTTGGATGGCCCTTCATACTATGGGGCTGCCATCTGGTTATCCTCCCTTATGTTCACAATCCATGAAAAAAGAGTGTTCAGTGTTCCAAACATACTCCTATACATGCTTCGGTAAATCAGATGAGATCCGGCAAATCACATGCATCGGTGAAGGCTCTTCCAATCCACAAGGGAGGGTTGGTTTCTTTTTTTCCTTTCCATCTTTGGCCAGATTCCTACTGGTTCTTTATGCCGGTATAAGTGCAATGGTACAAATACCAATTGCAAACTGCTACTGGTTAAGAAGTCACTGTACCTCCACAGAGAGGAGCCAGTCTATGCAACCTTGGGCATGCTGCACAGTTCCCAGAGCACCTTCAGAAAAAGGAAATGGTGTGCCTTTGCACCAGTGTAGATTTTGGCTAAGTGGAAGTTGAGTCAACTGGATTTCGTTCTTATTAGGTTGGAACGATTTGCTACTCATCCAAGTAGCTTATTCACTCTGAAGAGATGTTTGGATGAGTAGCGAAGCCTTTCAACCTAATAAGAAAGAACTCGTTGCCATGACTCAAGTTCCAGATAACCTCACCTGGGTGACTGATAATCGTCACAGATTTTGGCTAAGGTTTACTAAACATACACCTCCCTTTCCAGCCTTACCATGTTCTCTCATTCCCACTAATTCCCTTTTCTCTAGATATAGACCCCCTGAGTCACTTCCAACATTTTGATGGTGGGAGAGGGGCTGGAAGGAACTGGAAAGGGAAGAGGAATTCTGGTAGCATCTCTTTCCATTTTGCCCATTCTCTCCATCATTTTGAACACAGGGGTTGACAAAATGCAGCCTTTGGGTCTTATATGGCCCCCAGTACAGTTCCTAGCACTGTTTGGGGCTGGAGTCCCCTTGAACCTGCAAGATAACATTTTGAACATTTTAGGCTCCCTTGCTTTAAGAACCTACTTTTTAATTGTTCAAGACATTCTCCTGTGGCCTCTAAGAGAGAAGAAAGACAATTTTTGCCCTCCTCCCCTCCCCAGCACTCAGGGCTCCCACATCCTATTTCTTTCAAAGGTAAATTTAGGAAACAGATTTTGGGGGCAGCAAAGGTTTAATTTAAAAAAGAAAAGAAAATATTTTTGAGGAGGTGGGACGTGGGAGCAAGTGCAGCCTTCTGAATTTCTGGGTTGTGTTTGGGTGGCCCTCAGACCTCTGGAAGTTTCCTGTCTCACCATAAATTTTTGTACCAGTTCAAATCTAAGAAACAAAGTATGTCTTTGAGAAAGCCTATAGTCTTCCATCCTGCTCATTTTTTCAAAAGGTATTATATGTTTAAAATAGGATTTTCATGTTAGAAAGGGTGTGAAATACGCTGTCAATTGGAGCCAATGCAATATTGTGGTTAGAATCCTGTGCCGGGTGAGAGTTAGGTTCTAATTGATATAGGATTTTCATGTTAGAAAGGGTGTGAACTACGCTGTCAATTGGAGCCAATGCAATGTTGTGGTTAGAATCCTGTACCGGGTGAGAGGATGGGAGGAGGAGGGCCATGTTAGCCACCTTAGTTATCAGTCTCCTCTCTCTCTCTCTCTCTCTCTCAGCCTCATGCGCATCTCAGGGCTATTGTAAAAATAAAGATGGGAGGAGGAGAGCCATGCTAGCCACCTTAAGTGCACTGGAGGAAATACAGAATATAAACTCAACTAATAAAAAGAATTGAAAGCATAGGCTTGAATGTGTGCACAGTTCATTTCCTCCCTTAATGTTGCAGTGTGCTTCTCTCTCTCTCTCTCTCTCTCAGCCTCATGCGCATCTCAGGGCTATTGTAAAAATAAAGATGGGAGGAGGAGAGCCATGCTAGCCACCTTAAGTGCACTGGAGGAAATACAGAATATAAACTCAACTAATAAAAAGAATTGAAAGCATAGGCTTGAATGTGTGCACAGTTCATTTCCTCCCTTAATGTTGCAGTGTGCTAATAATCTATTGTTAACATTCTCATCTTCCTACCTATAAACTCTTTGCAGTCTGTATCATAGAAGGAAGAGGGGGAGATTTCAGCAGAAATAAAGTGTGATGGGATGCTTGACCCTCTCCCATAGGTCATTTTCCTGCTTCTACACATACACTCCAGCCACTTACCCTTTGACAGGTTCCAGCACATGTTTTCAAAGGTAGGATAGCAGGTGTAAACAAGGCACACCTTGTTTTTAAGGAGAAAACGACATCTGGAGGATTCTAGGAGTGCTGCTCTTATGTGCCATGAAACCATGTCCAACTTATGGCAGCCCTAACAGGATTTTAAGTTAGTAGGATAGCAGGTGTAAACAAGGCACACCTTGTTTTTAAAGAGAAAACTACATCCTGGAAGATTTTAGGAGTGCTGCTATTATGTGCCATCAAACCATG